ATACATAGTTTTTATCGTAAAATCCCAGAGAATATAGGTTTCGGTGAAACTGAAAATCCCAGGGATTATATTAAACTTAATACTAACCAATTCAAATTTTAAAATAGATCACTTTCCGATTTTGCCGGTCTTTTTTAATCCACCTAAAGCTGCACATCTAAGCATGGTATCTGTAAAGCTAGTGCACTAGCTCAGGCGTTAACAGTTTGTCGACGTAATTTTACTATTAATTTTAGTTTGGGTTGGTTGAGAATTATCGATTCTCCGGAATATAGCGTCGTCCATTACAGTGACATTTACTAAATAAAATAAATCTGTTATTTTATGCTTAGAGCATACTCTTTTTACTATGAATACACAGTTCTATGTATATTCATATTAAAAAGAGTAAGTTAACATATGGTTCAATTTTATTTCAATAATTCGCTTGTGCGTAGGGGTCTTCAGCAGTGGGAGGAAACCGGGGGACAGGGAGAAAACCGGGTTTGGACAGGCGACCCAACTCCTTGTCACGTACAACCGGGGAATTGAAACCACGCCAGTTGACTCAATAACAGACTTTATGATATAGCGAGCACGTGCTAACCATTCGACCATGATTTATGTTGTGTTGATGTATCATGTTTCTGCAGATTATGTCTTGTACCCATAAACTTCCGTTTTTATCATCATTTAATTTAAGCATGCTGATTTTAATTTGCTGTGTGCATTTTTCTGTTTTGACAAAGATATCTGTCCTTTCTCAGCAAATTTTAGAAACACTTTTACGACATCTATATCATAATTTCAATAAAAATAATACTCAGTTGCAAAAAAAATATTATTTTGGAGGATAAAAATATAGCTTTCCGAAAAATGACACAATTAGGCATCAAATGGTGAAAAGTTTATTAAATTCGAATAATAATTGACATTGTATGGACAAACACAAACCCTTGAACAGTAATTTGTGGAAAATAGCCTGTTTATTGGCAACTAAACAAGTTACAAACATTTTTATGATATCTAATAGATGGGGTCCCAAATTGAATAGCAATGGCAAGAAATTATCAAATGGTGGAGTATCATACGAAAAGATAATAATAAATAACTTGCTAGATCCAGGCATTCAATTTTGACCACCGACACGCTATCTAATAGATGGGGTCCCAAATTGAATAGCAATGGCAAGAAATTATCAAATGGTGGAGTATCATACGAAAAGATAATAATAAATAACTTGCTAGATCCAGGCATTCAATTTTGACCACCGACACGCTATCTAATAACCCTGTCACAGTCAACTGCCCCAGACTCTTCTGTAGCGATGTCAAGTCGACACGCCTTACATAGTTTAGTTCTATTTTACATTTATTGTTATGGTTCACTCTCCTTTAAATACTAACGCGGTGTGAATATATTGATCTGATGACCTAAGTCTATTATTGTAGTAACCTCCCTTGTTAGTCGAGATTGTCAAGTCTCTTGTATTTTTGGTAGCACGTGGGGTAGACGCCAATAAAGATGGGGATGAACTGCTATCATGTTGTTTTATTATATTTATATCATTATTCTCTGGTTCCGGTTAACCTGTAACACCCCTACGAGTTACGAAAGAGTGGGCCATGTGGACAGGAGCCCTGTGGTCGTAACACTTCCACCAGTGACAAGGCAGAAAACTATGAAATCCACGAAAAGAACAGAACTTTATTTACAGCTCATATCAAATACATGACATATGAGTAATAGGTTATTTATAAGATGGAGGCTTTTAATTCCTTGGTCAAGGGATATATATTTGTTAAGTATTATCTTTAAGAACATTTAGAATTATTGATTGTTTGCTTGAATTAAACAGTTTATTATATTTAAAAGTATAAGGTCTTATATAATAATATCTGGATATTTTGTTTTCACGTTCTGTAATAAAATACGTACAATTGAATACGTAATGATATTCATCACCAACAGTATTTAATTCAAATTCAGTTCATTTTTACACATTGGCTTTGTGTCCTTATAACTAATAGCCCAACAACAAACAAATTTCTATACAAGAGCCTTCTAAAGAAATCTTAATCTTTATGACTATTACATTCTGTTTTGTAGATCGTTTCTGTAACACATCAAATGTCAACTTTTAATGTGCATAAACCATTGTAGTGAATTTAAACACACAAAACTACTTCAACATAAATAGCTTTCAAGATCAAAGGTGATAAATCCATTATTCAATAAAGCTTTTGTTAGTTTCGGTATAAAGATATCCAGTGCATACATAGTTTTTATCGGAGAATGCTGTCTGTTTGCATTTAGCTACGAGTGAATAGTAAAATCCCAGAGAATGTAGGTTTCGTTGAAACTGAAAATCACAGGAATTATACCGAGTATAAATATTAAAACACGTCACTTATCGATTTCACCGGTCTTATATAAAGACCCAAACGCTGTAAATTCACGTATATCATCTGTAAGGCTAGTGCACTCTGACGTCAACAGTTTATCGACGTAACTGTTAACTTTAGTTTTGATTGGTTGAGAATTATAGATTCCCCGGAACATGTGGCCCTGTAGCCCCTGATCAGGGGCGGATTGGGCCATCGGGACAAAAAATAAAAAAAAAATTTGGTCCAATTCGTCTAAAGAAAAGCCCTTTTCTGCAGAACATTATATGGGCGGGGGGGGGGGATTATTGGACCGACCATGGAGCGATGATGACATGTATATGGCCGGTGGCTTTAACCGGCCATCACTTGAGTCTGGAATGGGCTGGTATAATAGACTTTCTGGGCCGGGTGTGCTGGGTGTGGGCCGAAAATTTCATCGGATTCACCCCACACTGTCGCCCGCAAATTTATTAATTATTACGTCACCTGCACCCTGTTTGTGGGGATACGCCAGAAACGTCTGCCGATGGTTCGTAACTCCCAAAAAATTCAATTTTAAGGCCTCGGCAAAATTTGATGATAACTGGTCTGCTGGCTGAATATGAGTGCGGGACGATTTCCTGAGGCTGGTGTTAAACATTCCTTGACATTTTTATTATTAACTCGTTATTTTCAGAGATAACATTTCAGAATTGTGATGTCGGGAATGGTCTCAAATTGCGGGAAATGGCCTCCCATTTCCAAAAATGAATTGTGTCCCGTACGCCTATGTATGTCCGCTCCCACTCCGTCAAGGCCACCTGTTATACGGCCTTGAACCAGGGAAAGAACGTTATCCCAGTCCCCGTCCCCAACAAAAATGAGACATTTTTCAATGAAAATATTCCTACTTATTCAATATTCCTTCCTGGTTAATCAAATGGTCAAAATTTTCTCAACTAGTCCCATTTTTTAACCAGTTAAATTATCTTGACTCTTGACGATACAATGATAATACGTTAATTAATAATATGACAATATAATAATTTCACAGGTTGATGGTTGTAAATTACTTGTAGGTCGGGGTTTTGGCCTAAATTAATCGATTTATGAGATATATTATTTGACAGAGATTATAGTCAGATATGCCACCAAATCGCATATTTGGGGTTCATTTTTCAAAATTTTCCTGGGGGAGAGCTCCCGGACCCCCTCATCCGGGCTCCGCGGTCAGTAAAAGGGACCGCTCCCACACTGAAGCCCGGGCCGTTTCCCAGCCCCAATCCGCCCCTGCCCCTGATAGGCATGTATGTGGTGTTATCGTATCTCTCATATGCTCCTTTATTCAGAAATATATAGTTTGTGTCTAGATATAGTTTGGCTGGGTTAAATAATGACCCTCAACCGTCGCCATATTGTCTGACATTTTAGATTTTACTATCATCTAATCAACCCACAACACAATGAATGATTTCAGTGTATCCCTTGACTCCTGGAACATACGTTTAGACACCAACATTATCATCCTAGACTAAATACTATGGGAGTTATAGAGTATTATTTGAAATGGCGTCCGTCCTGGACGCCATGTTGAATTTGTCAAAACGCTCAAGGGTGACCGAGGTTCGCTCGGCCGATTCTGAAAGAGGACACCATAGGCTACTAAAACCAATCATAAAAAAAAACTTTGTAGACAATTTCCAGGTTGACTCAAAATATTGGGTTTGACGACCGGACTAATATTTGTATTTTAATCAGATTGTACAGCCATAAACATGACATCAAACAAACAAAAACTTGTTTAAAAAATGATCTGTGAACGTTGATCTTTTTTTAAAAAGAAAATAAAGTGTATTTATGTTTAAGTTGTTGAGAAATGTCAATAGTAATTTTTTTCAGATCAATGGGGACTGAATAGTATAAAAAAAAACGATTTGCCATAATAGTATCAAATTCCAATGTTAACAGCTACATTTTGACATAATTAACACAAGTCACAATGGTTTTGAGTGTTCAGTGTTAACGAAGTGGCCATATAGTTTCAATAACATAATTTTTATAAAGCATTATACCATTTGATGAACAAATATCTTCAATTATGTATAACTTTAATTGGGTTTAAAGGGGGTTCCGGTAGTCAATAACACGTTTTATTTGAGTCAGTTGCGTTGTTTATTAGTGTCCGTTGGTTTCCTCCAACTGATAAAGAATGAATAAAGGAATGGCACGTCATCTCCAACCGGACTATATTGCACCTAACATATGGTGAAAAGTATGAGAGAAATTAAAAGATATCACACAGTATTCATGTACACAAATAAAAACAAATATCAAACACTGCTAAAGATTAAAGAAATAAATTTGCCCAGATATGTTAAACCCCATTTCTCACGTAATATGATGTCTTAGGTGGAGGGCAACTGTGTCTAGGTAAATGTTAAACCTATTTAATGCATTTAACACAAACACTCGTTCTTTAGTCGTTGGGCACTAAATCAAAACTATTCAGATCGATGGTGTGATTACAGAGTATACCACATTGTTTAAACGTTATCATTTGTGATATATGTATGATATGAAAGTGGGTAGATATTGAATATATACGGGAATTATTAAAACAGTGAAAAACACATACCTTGATTTACAAACAAAGGCAATATTTGCAAGTTTTAATTAAATGTGCACCAACTAAAAACAATACTAAGTTATTAGTTTAAAAACAAAGAACTACTATTTAAACAAATGATCGATTTAAATTTTAAAAAAAATGTATGTATATATTAATTTCGAATAAACAAAATTGAGGGTATCCGATGGATTGCTATTGCACAAAACATATGACTAGCAATGTAATAATATAATAATGATGTACATCAAATAGGTTGTACCAGCAGATATCTTACAACACGAATGATTCATATTAAAACAATAGGCAAACAAATATACTACATGTAACTATATAACAAAACATCAATTTGATACATAGCAAACAAATATTATATATTAAAAATCAATAATTAAACCCCACCCCTACGCCCCCTCGCGAGAATACACCCCATCTCCACCCACACAAAACGGTACACCACCAATAATGAAAATAACAATTTATTTTTACAACAAAAAAGCTACAGATAAACATTCATTCTGTATAACATAATAATATGTCCTTAATGTAAACATAAATTAATGACTTAAAATCAAAGCGTAACAGAATATCAATTATGTAAAATAAGTATGGATGGGGCCACTGGTCCGCAACAGACAGAGATGACAGGTTAAGTCATACATAATCACATATTGCCACGGAGTTTAAGTTATACTAGTTATTAAACATAACACAGCACAAGACAAACAAAAAACACAAGAAATAAACATCAGAATTATAATATCGAATTCAGGCGCCACTACTACATGAAAACCTTATGTGGTAAACTGACTCTATTCAGCTGGGAATTAACTCTTTGGCGTGTTAAATGTGAAATGAGAATTCATCTAGATAAACAAATGTGTATATTTAACCATGGTCCAAATAAATGCATACTAATTGATTTACTTTGAGAATCCTTACATGTGAGAATCTAATCTAGATGGTTGAGGGTCTTTTTTTCACAATTATCATATCATCTACTGATCTCATACATGGTGGTAGCGATATATAACTGTTTACATCACTGTTCATGGTATATTTGTTCAGCGCATCGTAAGGATTAGATTCATGTGTCGATGTATCATCATCATCATCAACATCACCATCATCATCACCTGTCTGGATATCGTCTATATTGGTAACGGAATTGCTATCAATATTTGTTTCTTGGACATCATCGCCTTGGTCAATGTTACTTGTTTCAGGATTCTGTAGTGGGATATAAAAGTTTTTACTGGTATCAATACCATCTCTGTTGATTGGATCGTAAGGATTAGCATATGCATCTGTGTCGTTAGATGCAGTAGACTCAGTATTGGTTGCAGTAGAATCAGTATTGGTTGCAGTAGAATCACGGTTGGCATGGAATATAACAACACTGTTTAGTGAAATGTAGGAATGTCTCATATTATTCGTTGGATGGCTGCTGGTATCTACCACTCTTTTAGCTTTACGTTTATAACCTGTAATAAAATAGTTGATTATACAAGCTGTGTTTGTATCGTACAGTAGAAACTGCTATTAGTTCTTATGTTTTTATTTGTACAAATTGATATAGTATAAAATGTAAAAATAACACCGATATGCTTCTACATGTTTCAATATAATTTCTTCAGGAAGCCATTGATTTAAATGTTATCAATGGCTTCCTCATAAATTTATATTGAAACATGTAGAAGAAAATCGGTGTTATTTTTATATTTTATACTATAATATATGATACTGTACATTAGAACAACCACATACCCCTGATATATATATATATATATATATATATTTAAATTGATGAATATATATTAAAGAATACATCTTTATGTAAAGGTGAGAAATATTCGTTGTGTAATACATGTCCAGGAATACATTACTAATTGTTATAAAGCATGTTTAAAGTATGTTCAATCAGAGAATGAACAGCACACGTTACACTGAGCACTTACCATAAATACCCAATCCTACAAGGACACATGTCAATACGGCTAATATGGGTAACACGGTCACCAGCACCAGGTTGAGCTCAAACAACGACCCACTCTCTATAATAATATCAACAATAATAGTACAAGAAAACAAGTACCATCGATGAATATAAACTAAATCATATCAAAAAGTCCTTTAATATATTATGAAATTTTAAACAAAATCGCTTGTGTCGGAGACAGGTGATCCCATCTAAAATATATACTATTCAAAAAAAGTAGGGGATATTTGATTTTTAAGTGTTATTAAAGTCACCTAATGAAACTGACGAAGAAACAAATGACAAAATGAAATGAAGTTCACATTCATCGATTTATTCCAAATGATCGTTAGACTAAGTAAGGCACAGACTGACCATTATAAGGGTAAAATGATACCCGGGGTCAAACAGCAAAGTTACCACAGCATCACAACCAAGTCAGTAACGGGTAAATCCTCCTCTGTTTGCCAAACAAGCATTGATCCGACGTGGCATACTCCTAATGAGACGTCTAAGGTCATTTTGGTCCAGATTGTCCCATTCCTGTTGCAACGCAGCAGCAAGTTCTTGGACATTGGCAGGACGTTGTTGACGTTGACGTAACCTCTGTCCAAGCATGTCCCAGACATGCTCGATGGGGGAGAGGTCGGGACTCAGTGCTGGCCAAGGTAATGTGGTGATGTTCTGTTGTTGGAGGTAACCTGTAACGATCCTGGCCCTGTGACATCTTGCGTTGTCATCCTGGAAGATGAAACGGCGGCCATGACGTCGTGCGAACGGCACAACATGGACTGCCAAGATGTTGTCCCGGTAGTACTGGCCTGTAACACGCCCTGCAACAACATGTAAAGCCGTTCTTCCAGCAACAGTGATGCCTCCCCACACCATAACAGAACCACCCCCAAATCGATCATGTCTGATGACGTTAACGTCTTGGAAGCGCTCGTTTCGACGACGCCACACCCTTCTACGTCTGTCCAAAAAATCAACAGTGAACCTTGACTCATCTGAAAACATCACATTGCTCCAGCGTCGATTATCCCAGTGTTGACGATCCCTACACCAACGACGTCTTGCCTGAATGTGATGATCTCTCAAACAAGGGATCACGCGAGGACGTCGGGCGCGAAGGTGACCCCTATGCAGTCGATTCCGAATCGTCTGGCCACTCACTCTCACACCAGTGTCTGTTTGAAGACGAGCGCTGATCTGATTTGCTGTGATGACACGATTTCTCAAGGCCAAGGTACGGATAAATCGATCCTGGGCTTGAGTTGTCGCCCTTGGTCGACCTGAGCGTGATCTGTCCTGTACAGATTGTGTATCACGGTATCTGGACCATAGCCTGCTTATGACAGACTGAGAAACATTCATCGTCCGCGCCACAACCGCCTGTGTTGTGCCGATCTGTAGCATGCCAAGCGCACGTAACCTTTCATTTTGGGTAAGCCGACGCATATCAAAATTTGTTTTCTGGTCACTAAAACAATTAAACTGATGTTTCCACCCTGGAATTCAATGCCACAATGACTGTAAAATTCAAAGTCAGAGTCGTGCAAATCTTGGGTTGGACCCCCATGATGATCCCAAGCATCACCTGCATTCCATGCGGTAGCTATTGGTGCGTTTGGGCGTCACATGTAACTGGAAATGTTTCTTCTGTTAGGTTCTATAGTGACTTTTTTCGTAGTCATTTGCATATTTTAGTATTATGCCCCCAAAATCAAATATCCCCTACTTTTTTTGAATAGTATATATTTGTTTTACAAGCTGTACTAAACAGTGACTTAACTATTATGTTAGCTCAGTACCCAGCATTGGGTACCAAATCGGGTGGGCTTTATAGTCTCGTCATCACAAACCTCTGATCATGTCCTTATAATTAAGAGTATGATGCGAGGAAGGGAATTTTGTACCAAACCTGCCTTATCCACTCAAGGATTATTTAATTTAACATAAAGTCCAAAGTAGATAAGTGTTTCGCCAAATTCCAAGAGAAGTCAGAACCGGACTTGAAATATCCAATAGGATCTTCTTGGCTCTTTTCGGGATTTAATCCCAGGATATGTGAATATATTCTATAACAGCAACTGTATTTAAATAGCAGATTCAGTTACACTAACCTGTCTGTAAAATTAAATGAATCTCTATCGAGACATGTTGTCGATTTTCGAAAAGGACACTAAATATATAGGTTGTATTATAATCTGTAGAAGTTGTATCTAGTATACCAAGATATATCTTTCCTCCATCTGATATTGCCTGTTTTTGAAAGATCAGTCTGTCGTCATCTAATACAGAATTATACCCGGATTCCGTCCAATATCCCACATTTTTGAACTGCAGTAAAGTAAAGGTAATATTATATTTAGTAAATAAATATATCAGACGATAATAATTAAATGCATTTGATTTCTGAAACAGTCTACTAATATTGCTATACATTGAACTCATGGAGTCGGGCAAATTTTAATCAGGTTCGCCATAAAAGTGGTATGTCTTGTCTGAGGAAGATTATATGTGGGGGTGGGGGTATAATGTGTCCATAAAATTCCCGACAGTGAGATGAAGAAGTAATCCTCAAATATTCTAATTTTAAGATTTTCTAACACAATAAAATAAAAAAAAAACATCTATTGTGTCTTACGTTTATTTCCGAGCTAGTGTTACGCATCACGTTAATTCTGGTGGCTGGAAATCTGTAGTAATATTCAAATATTAATTTTACAGTGTCACCGATTGCTCCCTTGATATATATGTTAGGTACATCCACCCTAGGTCCTATAAAATCAATGAACATGTATTGTGAATGTACATATAAGATGTAAGCAATATGTAATCTCTACATTTTCCAATGCTATCAGTTATGTTTTATTACCATGTCTAAGCATATTAAATTTATAAGTTACTGTATACGGAATGCCGACAATTTGCAAGGAGTCTGGAAATACTAATGTTATTGTATTATGGAAATTGTTTGTCACAAAATATGGACTTAAAATGCGAACTTTAGTAGTTATTAACATATTTCATATCATGAGAATGGTCTAATTGTATCCAAACGGCCGCTCCAGCACAATAACATGAATCGGCGGACATTATTTATATATATTGGAATGTCTTGGGGAGTTGTGATTTAACATCTTAGTTATCATAAAAACTTGAGACACTGTGCGATTTGAACCATATCTTGAAATAATCAATATTGACAGCATATCTCAATTTTACATACCTTCCTTCAATATTAACTCCTTATAACTCGTCAGGCCATTACTAAATGTAACATTGCAACCATATGTAGTATTAAAATCGTCAGCTACTGTATTTGGTATAGTTAAGGTTATCTCTTCGCCGCCTAATACAACATTCCTTTTGAATATGAATTTGTCCACATCCACACCCCGAAAAAACCTATTTCCATTCCAGTATCCTAGTATATGATACTGAAACATGAAATTAAATTGATTTTCAATTTAAGGAAGAAGTAAACGAAATAGACCTAGGTTTAACGTGCTACTTGTCTGGACCAACCGGGATATTGAAGACTGCCAGGCGCCTTGCAAATTTCAACTGTCAATGCTTTATTTACACCATAGTGTATACGGTTTCTCGTGTTTTTGTAATATTCAAGCATCTGTGCCTTTCTAGGCTATCTTTCACCAATGATAAAGGTGAAACCACACCTGTTCGGAAATAACTCCTTAATTGTAGTAAAAGCAAAAGAAAGCACGATTACTGTACGCCACAAGATAGCTATTAAATCAAGTTTAGGTGTTAAATCATATTAATTTGGAACAACATAAAGCGTTTAATTGGTTTGATCTTTCTTTCTGTGAGCACATTGTAGATCTTCCGATTATTTTGTATATTTCGTTTCATCAGTGACTATATCTACAGAAATACAATTTTGAACAATTTTGATAAATTAAACTTTGGCTCAAATTAAACATGATGTCATATTAAGTCTCAAAAGTTAAAATCATGTACATAATCGCATTTAGCCATTTAGTTAGAATTAGTCATACTATTGTATTCTGATAGCCTGGAAAGGGGCGGACATAGCTTCGTGTCTAGAAAACAACGATGGCCTTCGAAAACAACTTTCCCGAAAGGACAACTTGGTTTGTTCGTCAAATTTGATAAAGATGATTTATGCCGCCAAGAAGTCTAACCTCCAAAGTGTACAGACGCTTGGAAAAATATGTTAAAAACTGTAGCCGCTTTCACCAAAAAGGGAGTAACCCAGCAACAGAAAATTACAGAGCCACAAGGCCTACACCACAGTAGTATATGGACTTTTGTAAAGGAGTAAAATGGTTTGGGTTTATATATTTTAAGAATACGTACATCCATATGGTCATCTCTTCGATTAAATTTAATGTATTTTGACGGGTAGCTATAATAATATTTCCAGTTTAATGACACATTTTCTTTCATTTGACCTTCAATCTCTTTCTCAAAACTCCATCGAGGTTCTAGAATACATATAGAAAACACTTTGCCGTTAAATGATTACATACATAAAACAGAGCTTTGTGTGTTCTCCGGTTCGAAAAGAAATGGGAATTTAACGTCCTTCTTTTCTACACCGATTGAGCTAATGAAGACGAGAATATTCCATGCAGTATGATATGGCGAACCGTTTGCCAGGACAGCACCGAAACAGCCTATCCTCTTTTCGAATTCCAAATGTCAAGGTTTCTTTTACCAGTACATAAGTCAATATGTATAGGGACTGTTTTTTTTCGTCTCAGCCGAACGGCTGCTCTTTGTCCTTGTCAGGTCCCCCGTACTGCATCACTCACAAGGAAGAACCACATTGGAAAATCCCGAAGAACTGTCTGGGCCAAGACCGGGATCGACCCCTGATTTACTGGTTAATGTACCAGCAGCTTACGCACTGAACCACCGAGGTCCATTCCCTGATTTTACTAACAATTATGAATATGCTTATTGTTGAACCAGAAAAAGATGAGAATCGAATATTTAAAATGAAAATCTTTGCCTGCAGGTGTAACAAGACTATAAGCGGAACCAGGGGCATTCTTCTATTATCCAAGCAATAACTACACATACCTTCTATTAAAATAACCGTTTCTTCCCTCATAAAACAGGAATTCCCAAAATCGAGTTCAATAATATAAACATAACTCATATCATTTTCAGTTATATTTTGCAGTGTTAACTCTACGAATTCTGTGGAACCATTCGACGTTTTATGAAAATGAATTCGTGGGTCCATCTGTGCATTGTTCCAAATACCATTCCCCACAAGATTGGCATCAACCAAAAGCTTCACAAAAAATAGTATTAGTGATTATTGGTCTTTATTTATTATAACACTTATATTTTCAGTGAAATTAACTGTTGAACTGTAATCATTCAGTACGAATTCAAAAGCAAGTCTATGAGCGAAAAGAAACAACTAGAGTCTTGGCAATATATTTTAAAAATGGTTAGAATTTGTCATGAAATTAATGACCTAAGATCATTGAAATAACAGTACATCGATTCTAGAATAGCATCCAAATTCTAGCTAAAGTTAACAATGCCATTTTAACAGCCGTGGATTTTAGTTCTCATAGAAGAATTGCAACCAAGGGAACAAATTCAATCTTACTTTTTTCTTTGGAATTATTAGTTATACTTCTAGTAACTGGAATTTGATAATAAAGCTGGAATATATCTTTATTATATCAGTCATTCGCCTAGTTCTAGTGACAAATAATAGAACAACCATGTATCATGATTTTGTTTATTGAGCGGAAGGTAATGCAATGATAGGGATATTTCTTAGTTCAGCCATCAGCTAGTCTGCTATTAAGTTACCAGTCTTTGGCCATCAATAGTCAAATTATAATCACGAGCTTCATGTGTGTTGATACCCATTTAAATCATAATCGTCCAATTGAATCATCAGAAACATCGAACGTAGTTAATCAATTAACGAAGAGTGGGTGTGACACTGCCTCTGGGGGTCGGGACATGGACCAAATCAAATAGTTGCTATTATTATGGTATAAGGAATAAATATGCCAAGTTCCAAGCACACACTCTGATAAAACTATAATAATATATACTTACATATCTCTTTGTACTATCTGGTAGTTTTCTATATACAAAAATCTCATAGCTTAAATCTATCTTGTCGTACGCCCATTTCAACATTACATCATCTTCAACTTTAACTTTTACAGGCTTTATGTCATTTCTCCATTTGAAGTCTATAGAGAGAGAGTTAAATCGGGTTTAGTGTCCACTCGACAAAAACTATGTCATTTCGGGACTAACACAAGGTTAAATTTTATTTCAATAATTTGATTGTACATAGGGATCTTTAGCAGTGGGAGGAAACCGGAGGACCCAGAGTAAATGGACAGGCGACCATACGCCTTACGGCGTACAGCCGGGGAATAGAAACCACGCCAGTTGACACAATGACAAATCTTATGATACAGCGCACACGCGCTAACCGTTCGGCCATCCACCCCCACCCCCACCAAGTCTATATACAAGAAAACATACTTATAAATGCAGTATGTTAAAATAAATGCAGTATGTTTCAAATCAACTACTTGTAGGTGCTGTTAAATTCAAAATTTCTTACCCAGCACTGAAAGATGTATGTCATTTTGATGCAGTTTTGGTGTCAACGCTAAATGACGTGAATACAGCCCAGTATCGTCAAGCGTTGTATTTAAGATCGTTAGTACCGTCACTGGTCCATTTTTCGTGTATCTTTCTCCAATGTTGTATTTCGAGTCGTCCTCAATAGTTATGTTATTATTCTAGAAAATAATATTTAGATAACGTTTGAATCAATAACCCAACACTATTATAATAGCACATTCGATCATATTGAATGATCACCCAACATTGACGCATTGGTGTAGCTAATCAACACAATTTGTATGAAAATGAATTCAGCTACCCCGAAACCGTATATTTGGATACCAAACGCGGTCATATTTTGACAGGTAATTGAAAATTGACATTTTCCATTCAAACCCGTTGACAATTTTGAATTTTAGGATTTTAATTGTTGATGATCTACCGTGATCAGCATTTCTATTGCAGCAACTGTCCCTACTATCATTATCTGGCGTGGATTATGAGTGCAAACATTTCAAATATTCTGACTTGTCTCGGCGTATCTGTCTTGTTTTTTTTAGTGTAATACAAAGTCGTTATGGCCTCCTGAGTTCGATGTGATTTTCTTGTTTGTACATATGCAGCCGACGGTCAAACCAAAAATCCAATATCGGCTGCATTAGGTCACGTGTTTTCATTGCGTATCAGTATGTATGAAAAAAAATATAACCGTTTATTATTCATTCATCCAACCAGGTCTGTAACAAAAGATGCTACTTTTGATGTCACACAATTTTAAGATGGCTGCGATGACGTCATTCAAGGTCCATAGTGTGGTGGCACTTGTTAATCTCTGATTTCGTCAAAGTGGTGCCTTGATATGTAATATTCCCCAAAGAAGTCTTACACATCCATAATTGTGTACTGTGATTCTGCACTCAAAAAATATCAGCTCATCCAGTGACCGGGGTTTGTTGACAAAAGACTTTCTCGTTCGTTAAAATCTTGGCCGAAGTATGGGATGTGTGTAAATATTAAAACAAGTATACCTTACGTATGATCACGTTCAAATTGTCCGCTTCTAATGACCATATTAACTCAGTCATACAGCCCATAATAACAGATTTGTTGCGTGGATATGGCACCCTTCGTCCTTCCAGATCTAATGTAATCAAATGAATGAATGTAATGGAGTTTTATGGCACGTCAGCTCATATCGGGCTATCATATCGTGGATAATGTGAGATACACTATACGCAATGTACATAAATAAAACCAAATATCACAGAATATTAAATAATTAAAAATATAAATCATGTACACAAAAAAATGAGAAACATGATATATATGTTAGTACGCTATCATGTAGCTCAGGTTTAGGAAATAACTGACTCACTGACTGGCAAATGTAGTACATTAAGAAACTTGCATTCAATCAAAATGTGCTTATTTATTAAAAAGGTCCCGTCTTCATTAGCCCAGTTTAGGAGCAGAACAGTAGGACGTTAAACCCCATTTCATTTCATTTAAAAGGAATCAAAGGTGTTCAGATTCTCGTTGAAGGTTTCGCTTCTAGATTGAAATGTATTCCAGAAAATAAAACGCTGCAGATTTGCACACGCAAAACAAAACCCAAATTAGCCCCTTTTAAACTAGTTCTGGAAAAAATAATTAAGCAAAACTGGCAAAAGACGGAACCCCTTTCCAACAATATTTGATGAATTCAGTAACTCGGTAGAGTGTATAAATTACGCATACTAATATTAAGTATTGATTGAACTTACCAGCTATCCAAATTAAACTTACAATGACCAAAACAAAGACGTTCATCTTTATCCTGTCAACAGTTGAACTGATTAATTAATTTTATGTTTAGTGTTTTATTTGTGACTATTTCAATTGATGTGTTGTGTAACGGAATAAAGTTTCCGGTTTACTTTTTGTAAAATATACGTTCATATGATGTATTTTAAATATGGTTCACCCTTAGATTTGTTTCGTTTCAATGTGTTGTGGGGAACATAATATACGTAAAATTGAATTGCGATTAGAGTAGCCCCGAAATGAATATTTAAACTATTGACATGTACATTTTTCAACCACACGAATGGGACACTGCCCATTAATTAAGCATTGCTCATCTAAACATATATTACCCGGACGGTTGTCTTTGATTAACCGCGATGGCCCAGTAAGTAAGACGTAGGCTCGCTAGCCAGGAGGTCCCTTGGTTTGATCCCAGTTCATCTGCATTCTCCGGCGTGGCACTTCCGTGTGTCAGCGATTCAAGAATATATAGCGCCTAGCCATGGACAACCTATAGTCGTTTGGATGGGACAAAAAACTTGTTCCCGCCTAGACATTGGAGTACGCGTAAATAACCCTTGGCAGAAGGAATTCTATATAAGAGTAGACACAAACTAGAACATTTCGGGACTAATGTGTTCATTACCCACAATCGGAGCAGAACAATGGGACTTTAAATCCATTTCATTTCGACTGTAGCCCATAAGTTAAATTAACTATAAACACACATTTCCCTTATCTGCCAACTGTTAGGACTTAAGTGACGGTGGGTTGGTTTTGCTAAAATGCCATGTGCCAAAAATGCGTCTTTTGGTCGAAATTGAAGGTTTCCTTAAACATCTGAATCGCATGCCCTAATATACTATAACATTTATCCCACGCACTATATTTTAAATTATCACCACCACTTGATAAACGAACCCTATTGATGTTGAGCATTTCTTCCAGTGCTACCGCGCCTTACACAAAAGAGCTATATCAATCAAATTAGCCGATCGGCGTCGCGGAAAAGCCGTAAGACAAAGAAAACAGTCACAAGTTAAGTCTTGACATTTGTGTCGAGTTGATACTAAACCCCTTTCCCCTCTCTCTTTTATCACAACATTTCTATCGTGTATCCTTCGGGATTTAAAATGCATTTCAACCTCTTTAAAAATATGGGTTTGGTCATTTTGTCTTAACATGAGCGGATCGGTTCAATGTGTGGATTACAAAAGAATGTGTTAAATGGGCCACATTGCTATAGCCTATTCGTAACGGATTTCAATCTCACCAGGTGCGTGTCCAGAGAAAGGGAGGAGGCAGGTTGTCTGTCTCACCCTGCTGTTAGTAAGAATATTTTTTTATCTTCTGCATTCATGGAAATAACACCGTTTTGGCTCTGGATTCAGAAATAGTAACTCCAACTTGCCCCCCCACCTCCCTTCCTCCCCCCCCCCCACGGCCCACTACTACCCTTCTCATCCAGGTATCTAGATAATTTATTTGGCGCAAGCAAAAACTTATTTTCGTTTATGAAGTTCTCAGATCTTATTGACATATCTGCCACTTAGATTTCCCAGTCTCTAATCTTACCGATATATCTTTCACTCATATTTTCACCCTCTATATTTGTGCACCAGACGTCATAGAGATCGGGCAGAAAATTAACACAAATTAAAATTGCTTCAAGTCAAGTCAAAAAGTTATTCCATACTAGTTATGTGTCCAGTTCGTTTCAAAACGCTGGGCAGAATGGTGGATATGTAAGTGTTTTGTAAGGCAATGCTTAAAATTTGTTTTATTCAAACAAGACTCGACACGTGCTATTTAACATTTCAGATAAGATATACACAGCTTAACTTTTAGAAAGTCAGAAGTAATTAACTTGTGATATGATTACTATATCGTATTATTATGTATTAACTTCAATGTTTATCCCAATTTCACTATGCATACTTCCCCTGTCAGTAACACACAACACGTGTTACTAAAGCTAGTATCAATCTTAAAAATAAAATTTACAACAATTACAAGACGTCATTGTTTAAAGCATTGTCGTCATTCGGAATAATTAAGGAACAATCATGTTTCTATCACATAGTTAGTGTAGTGTTGAACCAAAATCAAATTTGGGATTTAATTATATTTATTTAACACATGAACATATTAAATGCATACGTAATAAACACTTAATACATGCGGCTATTTTTAATTTTCTATCAAAAGCATACCATATAACACAACGCCGTATTTAAAAGAATTTACGTATAGGGACGATACAAGGGGAGCTAAGGGGATAAGATGTGATTGTAAATTAATATTAAAGCAATTAATAGAAAGCAAATCCGCAGAATGTAAACTGAAACAATTGCACATTTCTATCCAGTAGCCTCTCGCTCCTGAAAACAAACAATACAACGATAACGATCAACATATACACGTTGATATTTTGACTTTAATTATGTTGTTATGAAGGATGTGGAGGGGCAATAAGAGTTATCTTAATTTTACATATCTTAAGCATGCTAGTAATAAAAATATACATAATAATTTAACTAAAATTAAGTCACAATACAGCAACTCTTTAAGCCTGTGTGTCTATTGTATTGTATCAAACTTCGTTGTTGCTCTCAGCATTTTGTTGCAGTGTCTTCAGTGGAATACTTGAACCGTTCTGGAATAAATACAAGTAAATGTATTGATGAGATTAACGTTCTACTTTGCAGTTCCGGCTGGGAAACTAAAGACGGACATTCGCCATGCCGTGTGGTCTTGGTGATTGTTCCCTGACATCGGCGATACGGCCTACTCTTGTATCGATCAAAAGAAACATTTTAATAAGGAAAACATTAAATTATTATTAAAATACATGAATGGACATTAAACCTAACAACGGCGGAATTGGGGAACAAAATAAGCACACCGTCTTTGCAACATCATATACTATATTATATTTTCTTACCTTATCTTCAGCTTTTTTCCTCTGTTTTATACAATTACGCAATTCTAAAAATAGACAATTACATGTTTAGCTGTGTTGTGTTTCAACAGTTCGAATCAATAGAAAACAAAAATTAAGACAAAATATAAAACGTTATCTTAGAGAACATGCATGTAGAGTCATATTAAGTTGAGATGAGCAAATTGACTGGTATTCACTTGTTAGCAAGACGTTGACTAATTTTGTTACGCAAGATGTTGCACCTATACAACGGAGTCAAATTCCAGAGATCATAATTAAGCGAACTGAGCGTTTGACAGTGAAGGAAATCTACGCCGTGCTTATCAGTCAGCGGCCTTATTAAATAATAGTTACATTTCCTTGGATATCATCGCATCTATTTTATTTTGCGGAACACTCCCAAAATCCTTAATTTTAATTATAATCGCACTAAGACCACGTGGTGTGGAATTAAAACTACCTAGTGATTTTTCATAAGTGTTGGTGATTGCGAAGATTATTCAACGTGCATCACCAGTTTCCTTATTAGTACCGAATCTCACTGTCATAAATTATGGTATTTTCCAAAATTTCTAAATGAACCAAAAAGGCCGTGGTTATGAAATGTGAAATCGCTTTAGACGTCATTCTAATTCATAGAGTAAATGAGAGTCAAGACTGAATCGCGAAGGCACCTAAAACACACCAAACACTTCATAAATGGACCTTTTCTAAATCAATTGCTTAAACAAAGGCTTACTTTCTCTGTTCCGCCACATTACTACTGCTGCTACTACGACTGCAACAATAAACAACACCCATAATATGATGGCTGCAACTTCCCCATTATGTAATCTAGAATCATCTGTTTTAGTGCGTCGCTTTTCCGTCCGGGTCTGTTTCTCTAAAACTGAACCAAGATAATTCCAACATCATAATTTTAACAATGAAAGGTCTTATCGGCCATATTCCGAAGATTGGTTATTCCGTTTTCAGAAACTGTAGAGTGTTTACTGGTTGAAAATGTTTGCGGGATCCTGACTAGACGATCAATCCCTAAATGAAAGGACCACTTGCTCTGTGAAATATCGTTGTTTGAATTGCGCTAGGTTTACTCCTTCGGAATAGCAGAAATAACCCAGTACGTGGGGAGAAAAATAATTCATCTTAATAAATAGAGGATATTTGTCGTTTTAGAGTTAATAACATATTTTATTGCATCGAGAAGCAAGAAAACTTATATTTTCACGAATGCGTAGCATGAGTGAAAATATAAACGTTTTCTTGCTTAGAGATGAAATAAATAAAATTCACGAGTTATATTTGATATCTTTAGAACCTACTCATACACAGCTAACATTTGAAGCGAGGGAGAGAGTAAGAGAGATGGGGTTTAACGTCCACTCGACACAAACTAAGTCATTTCGGGACTAACATATTGTTTAATTTTATTTCAATTATTCGGTTGGGCGTATGGGTCTTTAGCAGTGGGAGGTAACCGGAGAACCCGGAGAAAACCCATGAGGTTGGACAAGCAATCCTACTCCTTGTCACGTGCAACCGAGAATTCGAAACCACGCCAGCTGACTCAATGACAGGCCTTATGATAAAAGGCGCACGTGCTAACCATTCGCCCCTAAGTCATTTCGGGACTAACATATTGTTTAATTTTATTTCAATTATTCGGTTGGGCGTATGGGTCTTTAGCAGTGGGAGGTAACCGGAGAACCCGGAGAAAACCCATGAGGTTGGACAAGCAATCCTACTCCTTGTCACGTGCAACCGAGAATTCGAAACCACGCCAGCTGACTCAATGACAGGCCTTATGATAAAGGGCGCACGTGCTAACCATTCGCCCCCCCCCCCCCAACATCTGAAGCACAAACAGCTGTATAACATGAGACTTGCCTTTCAGTATAATGATATTTGAACTTTGATGTTGATTAGGAAAGATAATGCGACACTTATAGCCATAATTGAAGTCCCCTGTGGATGCATTGCGTAACTTAACAGTAATCTGCCCTTCTATGTCACTGGCAACATGTCGTTCTGTTATATTTAAAGTAAGCCTATTTGTATCATTATCTAATGATGATACAAATTCTTCAGCATGCCAATATCCAATTGAATCAACCTGTTAAACAAAACATTAAATTTGATAATAGGTAACAGTTATTCCCTGTACAATTGCAGTAGTAATTTTACAAGGTTTCGGCGAGTACCATCTCTATATGGTCCATCCTTCAGAACAGCAAGTTGTAACAAAACCGCGTACAACGTTTACAGCGACGGTAACTTTTACGGAATCCTTGAATTTCATTAGCTATCTTCAATAATAGCCCCACAAGCCAGTAATTTTTTAAAACAAAGTTTTACGCACTGAACGGCAGTTTTTAGAGCGCTGATTGGGTTTGTCCTCTTGTAACCCTTACCCCAAATCAAGATATCGATATGCTTTGTTTGTCCCATGATGACACTAATACTTGAAATCAATCGGTTTCTCAAGAATTTTTAAAAGGGATGCCACGCTTGAAAGCAAGGTTGCTGAAAGCCGAATATTGGTCGGATTCGTCATTTCAAATAAAGGAATCATAGTTCGTATTTTCAAAACCAGATTGAAAAAAATATGGATGAAATTGAACCAAAATGTAAAATCTTTGCGCATTCGAAACGAGTATTAGTTGCCCTATATAACTTTGGATGTTATGTGGTGTCATTAATCCTAATACCGCTTTGTCAAAAATGAAACGATTAAAATCTGGAGACTCTATCGCGCTCAGTAGGTTTAACACTTAACATCAAAACTGTTCGCCCTTTATGACCCCTTCACACTCTATCATGTTGGCAAGAGGTTCTGCAGGATTGGTGTGAGTTTAGCCTATGATTGGAAAGTTGAGAAATGTTGAATGGATTGTGCAATTTTATTACCAAAATGCTTCACACAAAAAAACAACACCAAAAAAAAACCTGCATTCACAAGCCCATGTGGGCGTACATAAATGTGTATGTAAACATAAATACTCCTAGACATACCTTTGGGTTTGTTGCTTTCATACGAGTAAGGAATACCATAAGTGCAGGATATGTATATCTATATCTCCATACAAATGTAACATCTTCTTGGGGTAAAGATTCCATAATTGGGGTGTCGGGGAATATTAGTTGTTCTGTAATATAAGACATGAAAGTAACATTAATACTGGTTTTATACAAAACGCCATGCAATGCTGCTGAACAAATCATGCCGAGAGAGAGCTTCTACCAAGAAAAAAGCAAAATACAAATGGGTCAAGTTTCAATGTTTTTCTGTCTGTAAACTATTTCATTTAGTTTATACTCTCATAAGAAGCATTACGAAAAACTTACTTTCTGTTAGAGACACAGGTTCACTATTCTTAGAGCAGCCATCTTTGAATTCTAATTGTACCATGTATATGTAAATCAGATCAACCATAACGGTATAGTTAACCATCAAATTCAGTGTAAATGTTCCATCTTCTCCTTTTGTCCGCTGAACTGACATTCTTATTTTACTTTTGATCGTGGTTTCATCGTCATTTTCCCAAACAAAAAGATCTTGCTGTAATAAAAGAAATGTATATGGTACAGTATTTCAACGTTCTAAACAGACACCACTATAAAGTGGAGCCATATTTGCTTTATGGAGATCCCGTGTCTGATCCATTTGTTGACCAAGAAATTTCATCCGGATTTTCCGGCATGGTTCCTCTTGTCAGTGATGCAGGATGGAGGGGTCTGGGGCGAAAACCGTGGCCCTATGTACACATTGGAGTGCTCATCTAAGAACCCCTAGTCGTTGGAATTCGATATAATAGTAGGTCGTAGCGCGGCTGTCAGGGCAAATGTTCCCCCATAGCACACTATATGGTGCATGTCCGTCGTCATTAGCCCAATCGGGGTAGAACAGTAGGTCGTTAAAACCGATTTGATTTTATTTCCATGATAAAGTAAAACCGGTAATGAGTGTCGCTGTTTATTTTCAAAATGGGATTACAGTGAGTAATTCGGGGTGTCATTATGTATAAAGCTGACTTACTTTGTTAGGGCTCCGGAGAATTGTAGCCTTATATCATCGTAAGAGCCTACGTCGAAATAATATTAATCGGGATTATTCCAAATTAAACGAAACATAAACTTTACCTCAGTTTTCTATGACCCCAGCTAACAAAACACAGCAGATAACCACCCGAAGTAAAGTGTATTGCAAGATTAAGATGCCAATCAATATGCGAGAATGACACTAAAGTTGCCCAAGGTGAGATGGAGTCAGAAACCCGAACTCTTTTCTTCAATATGCTCACAGAAACTCACCCAATTTCATTATAGTGTGTGACTATATATTGCACACCGACAATACCGATGATACACACGCTGTCAGCTCTGAACAAACAGAACCAGCTTGCACGAAAGACGACCATCTACAAGCAACATCGCCGCTTGCGTCTTACAGTTCCGACTAATATCGATCCCAGAAAAAGATTTTCGGCTATCAATATCTGTTCTCGGTAGGATCTGTAAGCAGTGGGTCGCCTGGAAACCTTTGACAAGTGATTCGTGGGGTGTAAGGTACGCAAGCACCAGTCTTGACATTGTCTGACAACTGCTATACCGGTCTGTCACATTGCATAAAGTTTTTTGCGGTAACCACAAACGGTTCCATAATACAATGTGTGCACGGGTGGAGTTGTTAGGTGTCTATGTCTGACCTGCAGGCTAAATCATCTGTATACCCATCCTGTCACGTGCCTTTCAAAAGCATGTGGTGGGCCATTGTCTTTGAACTAGTTGCTTAGTTATTCGAACTTTCCAAGTTATATTGTTTTCGTAGTGTTGGAATGACCTACCATAACACCGTTGTGCCGGTATATTCGAATCCTATGCGGTATATTGCCATCGAGTTGATATTTCCATATTATAGACACACCGTCACCCACAACAACAGTCTTGGTATCAATTTTAGTTTTCCACTGGAAATCTAGTTTGAAGAAAAAAAAAACATGTTGAGATTCCTGTACTTAATACCGAGAGTCGACTCCCAAGCTCGGTCATTTACAATAATATTTACCAAATGATTTCAGTTCTCTTCTCGGTCTTTGGTTCTTAGTTGACCGTGCATCGACTGCACATAATTATATCATTTCACATTACATGCCAGTCAAAATACTACACGTGGTGCTATCTCCACAATCCTCCGAGATAATAATTCTAAAGTTACGTCCTGTCTGGACGGAGAAAAATATGGACTTGATGTAACGGGAATTGAAAATTTTGGGATACCCTTAGGTGCAGGATTCCACGCTTATATAATTATATGATGACCGATTACATTATTATATAATTATATGGTCAACGATTACATTATTATATATTTTTTTCTGGTCAACGATTACATTATTATATATTTTTTTCTTTATAACGAAATATTAATTCGTTAAAACGAAATAGTAATTCGTTAAAACGAAATAGTAATTCGTTAAAACGAAATATTAATTCGTTAAAACGAAATATTAATTCGTTAAAACGAAATATTAATTCGTTAAAACGAAATATTAATTCGTTAAAACGAAATATTAATTTGTTAAAACGAAATATCAATTCGTTAAAACGAAATATTAATTCGTTTAAACAAAATAATTAATATGTTGTAACGAAATAATTAAATCGTGTTAATTAAAATTTCGTTGTAACTAATTATAAAGAAATAATTAATACGGTTTAACGAAATAATTAATACGTGTTAACGAATTAATATTTCGTTGTAACTAATTAATATTTCGTCTTAACGAAATAATTATATAAGAATGTAATCGTTCAACATATAATTATACAAGAGTGGAATCGTGCACTTAAGAGGGGCCCGTACAGTTGCCTGTATGACGATTACAGTGTAACTCCAGACGGAAAGGTGGTGTTACGCGGTTATCACTACAAATTTGAAGAGTGTCTGTTTTGGGCAAATGGATGTGTGTATGTTTGCATGTTTGGTTGGAGGGAAGCCTGGAAGATATACAAATATGCGTGGGCGTTTAAAAATGAAGCGTGGACCATGAGCGAATAAACACAATGAATAAGAATGGAGTTACGGATACCTGAAATACTAAGATTGATATCTGTATATTCTTTAGTAGAATCTATCTGACATCTATAAAACCCAGCATCTTCCAATGTAACATTCCTTATAGTTAATATCGTTTTACTATCATGGGTTTCGTGAATTCTGTATTTCTCGTTGTTTTGCAACTGTTGATTTTGCTAATAATATAATAAATTTAGAAGGCGATGTAAACATATACTACCCAAAAGAAGTTAAGGGTCAAACCTTTTTTCTACCAGGTAATTGCCTATGCACATATCAGATATATATATATACTATTCAAAAAAAGTAGGGGATATTTGATTTTTAAGTGTTATTAAAGTCACCTAATGAAACTGACGAAGAAACAAATGACAAAATGAAATGAATTTCACATTCATCGATTTATTCCAAATGATCGTTAGACTAAGTAAGGCACAGACTGACCATTATAAGGGTAAAATGATACCCGGGGTCAAACAGCAAAGTTACCACAGCATCACAACCAAGTCAGTAACGGGTAAATCCTCCTCTGTTTGCCAAACAAGCATTGATCCGACGTGGCATACTCCTAATGAGACGTCTAAGGTCATTTTGGTCCAGATTGTCCCATTCCTGTTGCAACGCAGCAGCAAGTTCTTGGACATTGGCAGGACGTTGTTGACGTTGACGTAACCTCTGTCCAAGCATGTCCCAGACATGCTCGATGGGGGAGAGGTCGTGACTCAGTGCTGGCCAAGGTAATGTGGTGATGTTCTGTTGTTGGAGGTAACCTGTAACGATCCTGGCCCTGTGACATCTTGCGTTGTCATCCTGGAAGATGAAACGGCGGCCATGACGTCGTGCGAACGGCACAACATGGACTGCCAAGATGTTGTCCCGGTAGTACTGGCCTGTAACACGCCCTGCAACAACGTGTAAAGCCGTTCTTCCAGCAACAGTGATGCCTCCCCACACCATAACAGAACCACCCCCAAATCGATCATGTCTGATGACGTTAACTGTCCAAAAAATCAACAGTGAACCTTGACTCATCTGAAAACATCACATTGCTCCAGCGTCGATTATCCCAGTGTTGACGATCCCTACACCAACGACGTCTTGCCTGAATGTGATGATCTCTCAAACAAGGGATCACGCGAGGACGTCGGGCGCGAAGGTGACCCCTATGCAGTCGATTCCGAATCGTCTGGCCACTCACTCTCACACCAGTGTCTGTTTGAAGACGAGCGCTGATCTGATTTGCTGTGATGACACGATTTCTCAAGGCCAAGGTACGGATAAATCGATCCTGGGCTTGAGTTGTCGCCCTTGGTCGACCTGAGCGTGGTCTGTCCTGTACAGATTGTGTATCACGGTATCTGGACCATAGCCTGCTTATGACAGACTGAGAAACATTCATCGTCCGCGCCACAACCGCCTGTGTTGTGCCGATCTGTAGCATGCCAAGGGCACGTAACCTTTCATTTTGGGTAAGCCGACGCATATCAAAATTTGTTTTCTGGTCACTAAAACAATTAAACTGATGTTTCCACCCTGGAATTCAATGCCACAATGACTGTAACATTCAAAGTCAGGGTCGTGCAAATCTTGGGTTGGACCCCCATGATGATCCCAAGCATCACCTGCATTCCATGCGGTAGCTATTGGTGCGTTTGGGCGTCACATGTAACTGGAAATGTTTCTTCTGTTAGGTTCTATAGTGACTTTTTTCGTAGTCATTTGCATATTTTAGTATTATGCCCCCAAAATCAAATATCCCCTACTTTTTTTGAATAGTATATATAAAATTATTGGCGGAAATCGTGTCAAAATTGGTTCACGATATCCTGACGACAAAACCTGTGTACAAGGCATATGTCATTATAAAAAAAGCGATTTTGACAGTCTCCTTAGAAACCATAAACTGAAACTCAAAACAAGGCTCCACAAAATTGTTTGTATCGCCCAAACGCAGTAGGGTACGACTTTTTGGAGTTGATTATGTCCTTGCACGTGCACTATGCATTTTCTATAAACAGTTTTGGCATAAAAAATACTTCCATGACCGTGCTGCTCTCAGTTGAAATTTCAACATGGTCAGACGTCAGCTGAGTGAACTTGAGAGAGGAAGACCCATTGCATGGCTTCAACAGGGTTTTACACGGAGGTACAGAGAATCGGTTGTAGCCAGCGTTTCCAGGCAACCAATTTAATTCAGAATCCCCCACGATCTGGTAGGCCAACATCAACGTCGCAACGCCAAGACCGGCATGTCATTCAAATGGCCTTACGTCAGCGCGTTGTTACAGCGAGATGTCTGAGAGATGAACTGCGAAATGCAAGTGGTGTTCAGGTATCGGACCAGACCATAAGAAATCGTCTGCGAGCCCACAACATTCAAACTCGACGCAGGAGGTTCGACCACCTCTTCTTCAACGTCATAGGGCAGCACGTCGTGACTGGTGCACACGTCATAGAGACTGGAGACGGCGACAATGGGGGCGGGTACTCTTCACTGATGAGTCCCGATTTGCATTACAGTTCAATAATGGCAGACTTCGCATCTATAGGCGGCAAGGAGAAAGATTTGCTGATGTTAACGTCATCGCTTTGGAGGTGGTACGGTAATTATGTGGGCTGGAATTTCGGTACATCACAGGACTCCTCTTTTCGTCGTGCAAGGAAATTTGACGGGTATCAGGTACAGAGACGAAATTTTACAGCCTTTTGTCATCCCAATTCTTCGTCAAATTGGAGCAGGTTCTGTTCTTCAAAATGACAATGCTAGACCGCATAGAGCACGAGTTGTTAATGATTTTCTCACCCACAATGGTATTGAACGAATGGATTGGCCTGCATACTCTCCTGACTTGGCACCAATTGAGCATGCATAGGATGAGTTGGGCAGACGTGTGAGAGACAATCATAGGCAACCTGATAATCTTCACGAATTGGAGCAATTCCTTCAGGCAGAGTGGCATGCCATTCCCCAGATGTTTTTTCGACGTCTGATCGACAGCATGCCTCGTCGTTGTGTCGACTGCTTACGAGCACGTGGTGGTTTCACTCGTTATTAACAAAGTTATAGAATTTGACTCAGTTTTGTTGGACCTCATTATGCTCAAAATGGCGAATTTTCATCAGATCCTCAGAATAGTTGTGTATAAAAAGTGCATATGCTTTGCATAACAGACTCAACATTGAGACATATTGAACTCATTCTGACCAAAAGTGTGCTTAAAAGTTTTGATTTACATGTTCCCTGTGTCTAATAAAACGTCAAACAAAAATAAGTGGTTGACCCTTAACTTGAGTAGTATATTACAAAATACACAGGTGTGAAGTACATTTATCCTTAAACATCCATTGATATAAATAACTGGTTTATATGTTTATTGATAATGTCATTATAGGCACGATACATTTGAATTTAAAGAACTGGCATGTAAGCGGTCGGTGTTTTTCGGGGTTTAACTGTTAACCAGCAGGATCTAGTACTAGCTTGCAATACCATGACGAGAAGTAATGACATGTATTAAGTGCGATACAGGTTTTGATTTCGCTTTAAAGAACACAGATATACATATATCAACTGGTGACCGAGAAAGTTCCGGGATTTTTTGTGTAATAGTTTTAATACACATATACACATATATCAACCAACCTTGGTAATAGATGTCTTGTAATCTTGTTTGTCTAATCTCCAGATTAGCGAGGCGTCACAGCCAACTAAAGGTGAATCAGATTTTTCTGAAGTGATTTTCAGAGCCAAACAACCTACATTGCACATGTATATATGTCAACACTAATTTAATAAATGGTTCCTTGAAACAGAATTATATGTTCTTGGGCATGGATTTGAAATAACCAGAAAAAAACATATCATTTAAGAAGCTTTGAAATCGTTGGAAATAAACCAAATGCAATTAATGTCATATTCAAATATCTACATACACGAATTGAAATATTTGGACAATATTAGGTATCTTAAAACGACTACGCCCTAGCGATTTGTAAATGTTGCTGTATATTCAAATCACTGTCAAAATAAACCCCATTTTCAACAAACCGGCGACAGCTTAAAATAGCGTGTTATAATTAATGTGTAAAACGTTATTTACCTTGTAGTAAAACTAGGCACACCAATGGGAAATGCAAGTAAACGCAACTTTTCATGACACTGGATGCATTTGAAAGAGAGAAAAAACATACCATAAACTAATAGTACATTAATCATCTAGAAGATAAATTGAAATATGAAACATCAACATTGACTCGTGTGTGTGTGTGTGTGTGTGTGTGTGGAAAAGGGGGGGGGAATGAAAAAGCTGCTCATGGGAGTCCGTACCTTCGGTAACGATTTACGTTTACGACTTCTAATTAGGCGGATATGTTAAGTGGGACAAATTTGGGAATTTCCACTTTATCTTTGGCGGGTATATGCTAAATAGGACTAATTTGGGAGTTTGCAATTTATCTTCCAAACTACCTGTTTGGTTTTCGGCCCAATATGATAGCAATTGTACTTATTCAGATTTTTTCACAGTTTGACTTCGGGCGAAGGACAGTGGTTAATCGTTTCGGATGGTAGGAAAACCCGAATTCTCGCGGCCGTTGAAATTTGATATAAGAGTTGGTCGCTTTCCAGGCACAATTTCCCAAGTAGCACACTATTTGGCGATGCTGGTTTCCATTAGCCCAGTTGGTGCAGAATAGTAGTATATGGAAGACCAAACAGCTCTTTATTCAGTGTTCTTAATTCTTAGTTCTTCTTAATTCGTAGTCTTTAATTCTTATTTCTTCATTTGTTGTATTTCGACATTTGTACTATAAACTTCACATTGTATCTTATATTTGTTTTACAAATCGATCATTAACTTCTCATATCAGATTTGTTTATAGTATTTTTTAAATTCTAATTGTAGTTTAATATACAGAATAAATTTATTTTAGGAAACAAATAAATAGCCCACTTTTACATTTCAGACAACGAAAAACAAATCTCAAACAACAAATTTCCATATACAAATCTTGCAAAACATTTCACCAAAAACATTTCTTCAAAAACATTTTTCGAAATTCATCAAACCGGAACATCATGACGACATGAGTGGAAATCAACCTGGCATGCAATAAATCACCAGCCAATAATGGGGAATCGAGCAAGCACTGTGTACGAAAAATCGAACGATGCCCGTGACTATAGTGAAATCACGTTTCTGGTATTGCTATTCCGTAGAGTTATGTTTCTATATACATAACTGAATTGGTTAAGGCGATCCAAAAAAAATAAATAAATAAATAAATTGAAAGTAGTCTATTTTTAGTAACTAGGTATGTAAATATAAATGTGCCAGAAAATAATTTAAAAAGTTGTACGATACTAAACTGCATTAATTGATAGAAACTGGGCCTGTGTGTGTGTGTGTGGGGGGTCTTTCCAGTCGAAATACGGACCAACAAAACGACATTCCAGATATCACAATGAATACCACCTTTTCCAAAATGTAAATCATATCCTGACACATTCAGATTTACATACCTTAAAAATTCAGGTCTTGATATGAAATTCCTAATGTTTTTCATTTATTGTAGGAAAATATTTTAATGTCCTTTTCAAAAATGTAAATTATTTTCTGGCACATTGACGTACCATAAACAGATCGAATTCAAATCGCACTGAACGCCATTCAGTGAATGCAGTTAATCGTTTAATTCTTCGCCGTAAAGTATTTTTCTATCGCTCTTTCAATATGTATATATATTAGTTATTCCCTGGCACATTCAGGATTACTTAAAATACAGATGTGACGTCATCCTTTGATGTTGGCGTACCATTATTTCAAATATTCGTAATAGTGCAACTAGTTAAAATATTGAACCCGGGTGACGTATATCATTGCAAAGCACGCGCAAGTGTCTGTGTTCTAAGTTGTTTAATGGTCTCGAGTTTAAGACATTGCGTAATATATTGTAAAATCACTCAGGCCACACGACCCTCTTGTTGTTACAATATATTACTTAATGGCACGCTCTCGACCATAAAACAATACATAATTTAGATGACATAGGGCACTCTTTCGTTTGAGAAAAGAAATATGCTGGCATCAGACAAAACCTAATTACTGAAAATAGACCACTTTCAATTTATTTTCTTTATCGAAGGCCCGGCCGATTATTCATACCACGTACGTCACGTAGTTTTAGTGTAGCCAAAGCACGCGCAAGTGTCTGTGTTCTAAGTTGTTTAATAGTCTCGAGTTTAAGACATTGCGTAATATATTGTAAAATCACTCAGGCCACACGACCCTCTTGTTGTTACAATATATTACTTAATGGCACGCTCTCGACCATAAAGCAATACATAATTTAGATGACATAGGGCACTCTTTCGTTTGAGAAAAGAAATATGCTGGCATCAGACAAAACCTAATTACTGAAAAATAGACCACTTTCAATTTATTTTCTTTATCGAAGGCCCGGCCGATTATTCATACCACGTACGTCACGTAGTTTTAGTGTAGCCACGGTCATCAAGCGATTTTCTTATTGTATATATATATATATTTGCTCGTTTTCCCGCTGATTACGTCATATTGTTCCGGTTCGATGAATTTCGAGAAATGTTGTTGGTGAAATGTTTTGCAAGATTTGTATTTGGAATTTGGAAACTTGTTGTTAGAGATTTGATTTAAGTTGTATGTCTCTGATGAAAAGTAAATGTATCTATTCTTCATATTAAACTACAATTAGATTTTAAATAATACAACTGTTTTTAGGATACAAAATGTCAATTTTAGTGCACACATGTCGAAATACGGCAACAAATGAAGAATTAAGAATTGAGGACTATGAATAAAGAACACTGAATAAAGAGCTGTTTGGTGTTCCATAGGAGTACGTTAAACCAGATTTCAAATCGTTTCTTTTATCTTTGGCTGGCGTACAATTGGTTTGGATACGCAGCAGGTATTCACATTGTATCTACTTGCAACACTAGATCTAACTGTATTGTTTTAACAATCGACCATCTATAGAGTGCCCTCGGTAACAGTAAAATAAAAAGGTGTTGCGGTTTGACGGAATTTTGCTGATGGTATTCAAGGCACCCAAGAAAACTTCACATGTCAAATACAGTACAATTCTAGTTTAAAGTAGCTAAGTCTCTAACTCAATATCATCAAAAATCTTCGACATTGAAAACACGAATTATTTGTCAATTCAAATCAACATTGGTCTTGTGATCTTACAGGGAAAAGATGAGCTTCTGATATCCATTATTCAAGACAAAATAAACATTTTACCATTGGTACTCGAATCGTGTACCATAATGCGTTTCAGTGCCATTTGGAACAAGGGACTCAAAAAACAGGGCTAGACATATTCCACAAGTCATGTCAAATGGTGACGCTATATTCTTATCTGGAGAGCATGCGCAATAAATACCATCGGTGTAGACTGGAAAACCCAGACGCTAAAGATCGTGATTCAGATGAGACTTCTGGCGTATTTCGCCGAACATAACTGATTAGAAATTACAGTAAAAACAGAAACGATTGAATGTAAATCAGTTTATATACATTCATATTACGTTATTATATGCGTTGCGACCCATTTTTGTCAATTTCTAGGTCCCAAATATTAGCAATTTAGCTCCTTTAAAATATGACATATTTGTTCTGGTTGATGTGGCGCTAGTACATTCACATATTGACGACTTTGTTCGGTCTAGATCTGCCATTTGCCTTGTGAACATTGAAATAAGCTACAGTGAAACCCCGGGTTTGGAACTAAGAAATGTCTCTCAATGTTTCAATTTTGACTATGCTCAAGACTTCATAATTGATAGAAACCACAAATAAATAAAAGCTGTGCATACTTTTAAACAAAACTGTATTACTTCTTCATTTCAATATTACTAAACACTAGCAGTTAACGACCAGTATAAAACAAATATGTTGTATTAAGACCAATTAATCTCAATTAATCTACAAATATTTAAGATGGTTACTTACAAGTTATACATTTTCGTGTGTTAAGTTGTATAAAGGCTTCGTGAATGATATTGTCGGTTTATTATACACGCCTACGACCGTTACTCATACCATTGTATTTAGGCTTTCCATTGATATGCATGTATATTTTTAACTGTGAATCTATCTTGTCAGAACATGTTGAAAATAATCTAAACGAAAGGTGAATAACTGCTAGAGTGGAAATTAGATCTAATTTTATGAAACAATTCTGTACCCATTTCCATCGAACACAAAAAAAACCCCACTATACATCCGGTCATTTTTACACATGGGTAGATCACTAATTTGATACATCAAAGTCAAACAAACGTTTGGTAGATGTGTAAATTCTTCAAATGAAAAGAGGTATCCGGTGTTCTAATACGGTTAAGCCTACCCTGTTTTACACACTACACCGTCATTACATATAGACTCATTCAATGTCAAGTGGGTCAGGGGTGCGAAATCGGCCTGCATAAGAACACACTAGAAACTGTGCAAAATTTGTGGGCTGTAGCTTGAACATTTACTGCGATACGGTCATTTGAGTTTTATGATTTACCGATAAGTTTTCGAAACAAAATATATATGGGTCCTTCCATGTCAAGTCGGTCAATTTTCAGAAAGTTGGGATTTGACATTTTTCAAACGTTGTTATCTACCACCTCCGGTTGTATCCAGATATCACCCACAATTATTTTCCTAGGTTATGTTTGATTATCAGGTAATATGAATTCCCAGGAAAATACAATATGTACTACACCCTTTTCTATTAACATTAATACTATTCTGATATGCCTTGAAGGGTTTGGTGTCTTTCTTTATGTTGACAAGTTTTAAATATGTTGTAAGTCTACAAGCATGTAGAAAACCCAACACGAGTAATAAGTCTGTCTAAATTCTCTTCAGCACCGAGCAACCATAACTGTTTGCATCTCTGTTCGGTTGTAAATGAAACGAAATTCCAGGGTTTGATAATTTACTTCAAAGTATCAATTACACCCCATACCAAAAATAACACAAGAAATTTGTGTTTGACCTTAAAATATTATATTAAGAATCTAACACTGACTGCAGGGTGACCTAACCGTAAAATATTACCCAGATTTTATCGTGCTTTTATAAAATTCAAACTCGATTCTAGTTGTATTGTGTATGGGTCGGCACTATATATAGGGTATTTAACTCAAAGTTCTGGACACCACCTCCACCAAGGACAATCCGTTTTAATTAATGTTTTGATGGATGTTACACTCAGATTGCTGCATGTTAACAGGGCATGTGTAATTTTAGGCACAAGTCATAAGCCGAAATACTATTGAAAACTCTTACAATATTAACAATATGACCATTCATTAAAACGCAGGACATATCTATTCAATGAAATATAATATATCCCGACAGTATGTGGTGTTTCATACATAACAACTATGCTATTTAAGTTATTTGCATATCACACCGATGTCTACCCTCATGCGAGAGTTTCTAACTTGTAAGTATTACTTTATATTAAACAGCATTGGAAGGTTTATTAGCAAAGAGATTTATCCAAATGTTTAACACAGGTTGATGTACATCTTGTTACCATATCCTGAGATTTGAATAGTTACTATTCTATTCTGTAGTCAGACACATCTTGGTATACATTTATACCACATTTATTCGATCAAGATGGCAGCTTGAAACCAATAAATATTAGCGTGACCTTTATATTGTGACCTTTTTAGGATTGTTTGGTTATACTAATGCGTTGACCAGTGCTTTGGGGGCGGGGGGGCTACAAGCTTTTAAATTATCAAAGGATGCGGTGCCTTCCATCAATGCAGTATTGAATACCTTACCACATGTAGTTTGGGTGTATATAGTCATCGCCCGTCCGTCCCTAATATTGGATTCTTCCAAAAAAGCTTCAAATCGATATTCCAGTCGGCGCAGAACAATAGGACGTTGAACCTCATTTCATTAAATTTCAAATCGATATTTCTCCGACACGGAAACAACAGCCCTCAGTGATCCGATTTTGTATACTTCCGGTTCCAGCTTTAAATTTATCAGCTTTAATGTAACACTTAAGTGATCTTTGACATCTACTAATAACTAATACTTATATCAAAAAGTTCGATATTGAAGATTAACTTCTGGTTTTAAATTGCAGGATTTTGTTTTTCTCCACCTTAATATGTTTAAATGATTCGATAAGGGCTGGGTGGCGTAGTTTGGTATCATTACGATGTTATTTAATTTAAATATAAATTTTGCACTTTACTGTTAATCCGTTCCTACACATTATGTCTGTGGTACTAGGATAATTATCATGTGCAGTTCAACTGTATAAATATTTACTGGGAAAACACAATAGAGCTAAATGTTGGTCAAGCTTTTGCATAGATGTAACCGTATATTATACCCACAAGATCCACCCTCACGAGCCCCCAGTCCACCGTCTACGGTACCAATTCTTCCCGTCATTTATAAATCCAGGACACTATTGTTTTTGTTTAATGTATTTGTTTATTCTTCAATTGTTTTCAACAAATAAGCTTTGAACATGTTAATCTTCCATTCTGTTTGAGTACAAGTATCTCAAGGGTGTACGATCGAAGAAATATCAATGGCAATCATTATATCATTTAATTGCTCAACCGGGGTTACATTGCAAAATGCTAGATTTCTAAAGGATACAAGTTTAATTTTAATTTATGCAATATTTTTACATTTTAAATAGTTATATGCATAGGGTAATTGTGATTTTGTTTTTGGTTTTTGTCTTTTTGTATACGTTCACATTTTAGTATGGAGGTATGTCGTCACGTACGTCCATCTTTAGGTCCATCAACAATTGGCTTGTGAACGTGATAGAGGATACAGGTTTTGACAGATTCTTTTTAAGATGCGGTGGGAAGCATTATGTGGTCATGAGAGGATGCACCCTACAGCATTACTTAATTTTCCGTGCCGGAAAACGCGATTGGCCTACAGGCTGAAGTTTTTAAAATTGTGTGTGATGTATTGGCCATGAGAGTATGAACGCTATTAATTTTCAGCATTCTGCGTCTTTCGGTTTCTGAAATAAATGCATTTATATCTTGATTCTTTTAAAGCTAATTTTATTGACAATTAAGATTTAAAAGGTTTTCTTTCGCAGTACATGTTACAATCAGTAGACGTATTATCCATGAACAAGTGATTGTAATGAAACATACGCCCAAAATGGCACATCCCCTCACTGTCCCGGCCAATGCTGTCCTTCAGATATGAAAAACTATGTTAGAAAACTGTAGCGTCTATAGTTATCACAAAGTCTGTGGGAAAGGGCGGATAACTAAGGAACGGAAGACAGCGGAATGTCGGTAATATTTGTCCTCTCATGATCCCATTGCTTCACATCAAATTTGAAATAAATCCGTAAAGGAAGGTTCTGGAACTCTTATCGTCCTTGGATGAACCCAATGCTTCAGGCTTAATTTTTTGATGGAGGTCCGGACAAGGACGGCTGTCTAGTCGTTCGGATGGGACGTGTCCCGTGTATACATTGTCATGCACGTAAAAGATATTCTGGCACTTAGAATTCGATATAAAAGTAAGACATAGTGCCGCTGCCAGGGCAAAATATTACTCATAGCACACTGTATGGCGTATGCCCGTCTTCATTAGCCCAGTCGTAGCAGAACAGTGGGACGTTAAACCCCATTCTATTTCATTTCACACCTAATGTGAACAAAATATATTAACAAGCGGTTGACATGCAAGATACGCCCACATTTTGCCAGATATGGACAGCAAACAAGCTACAAAAAGCGATTTGCGGGAATATCAAAAGGAATCGAAATATCTGGGATATATTTTTAGTTTCATCAATATCCGATAAAAATTGTGACCTCTAGCGGGTCCACCTCATTGGTATTGTTCAAGGAGCGGCCATTTTGTCAGGCAATTTCGGTCCGATTCGAAGTCACTTGTCATCAGGGTGCAACAGTCATATATTTATTAAACGAGTTTTACAATCAGAAACAAATTGTGTCAAAAAGAGTCCACAAGCTAAAATAACAATTTTTCCGTACTATCAGGGGTCATAATCCAGGAACTTACGGTTCGATATGCGCGAATATTGAAAAGGTCCGAGATCTGTGCGACATCAACACATGTTTCAAGTTTCATCAAAATTGGATCACAATGTGACCTCTACAACCTTGATATTAATACTTTAACACTATTTGCGTACATAATGCGGCAGTGTCGGTCCGATTTTCACGAAATTCTAACTCCAGCATCATCATGGTGTAACGGTAATACATTTGAACGTTGTTTTTAAATGGGATAAAACTTGTGACCTCTAGAGGGACCGCAGCTGAAAACGCCATTTTTCGTACAATCTGGGGTCATAATATTGAGAATTGTGGTCATATGTGCGCGAATATCGACAGGATCCGAGATCTTTAGGTCATAAACATACATTTCAAGTTGGATAAAAATTGTGACCTCTAGACTAACCACAAGCTAAAAACGTGATTTGTCGTACAGTCCATGAAGTTTCGATTCGATAAATGCCAGTATCGAAAGGCACCGAGATTTTTTTGGAGATAACCTATATTTCAAGTTTCGTCAAAATCACATAATTTATTGTGACCTGTAGAGTGTTCACAAACATATGACGGACGGACAGGGGTGAAGACAATATACTTTCACGTGAAAATTTGGGCTAATAGCCTCTATCGCACTGTTATCATCCCGTCATTTGTTCTACTTTTTCTGTTCATATAAATATCTAATACGCCTTTAAATTTTTTTCGCTAATCGCCCTGTAACAAATTTCACGTAAAAATTGTGGTCCCGTCATTAATTGCTCTACTCGTTTTGTACATATATATAAATATCTAATAATCTTTTAATTTTTTTTCGCTAATCACCTTGTAAATAATTTCACTCTGTACATATAACATGTAATTGTCCGACGACATCCCCAGATGAGCGAAAAGGTACCTTAAAGTGTGGAAATTGGTTTGTGTCGTCATACCTTTTAACTTTTATTTGCTTTCCGCGAAACAAGGTTGTGCAGCTTGACCATCCTTTGATGTTTTGTGTACCATTATTTCAAACAATGTATGGACAAGGTTCCAATGGTGTCTTATTTTATACAGTATGGAATTGTGGCTGGTGTGACGATTTTATTGAAATGATCTGGCAAGATACTGTTTGTATATTAAAGACATTTTAAAAATATTGATACAATCGTGGATCTTAAAGGGGAAGACCAACGATTTTCAATAAGGTTTCCATAAATAATAAATATATATTTAGAAATAATCCATCCTATAACATATGCAAAAAATAATTTGTAAGCGAGAAATTAATTTTTAATAATACCGGAAGTGACGTAGTTGGTTCGACACGCTCACTGGTCACTATAGTAAACATACAAATTTGGAGTAAGTTTAGCGCTGTATTTTGTGATCGTTTCGCCGTTTGGCAGAAAATCGGATGAAAGGTAATCTTTATTAGGATATTAAGAACAAGAACTTACGGTGTTTTGAAGGTATAATATACAACGCGTTTGTGTAAATTAAGTTTCTAAACTGGACACTGTGACACAATTTAAGCCACATGTCTAATTGTTTACATCACGTGATAGCTGGCACGTGACATATATTAACCGAACACAAATTGGCGACCTATTCGGCTAGCGACCGATTCGACCGATCCAGCTGGCAACCTGTTCGTTGGCAACCTATTCAGAATAAATTCAACAGTCGCCCAAACTCATCTATTTTTATCAACCAATAAAATCCAACGTAACGTTTATCAAATGAAAGTAGAATATATTATCATTTATTCATTCCTTTAGCTCAGAATAGAGATGTAATTTCGCATTATCTTACAAAATTCTGGACATCCAACTAAATATATTCCGAAAGCTGATTAAATAAGCTTTCGAAATATTATTAGTAAAAGTTGGCACAATCATATTAAAGGGGTGCGCTCTCTTTCTGAATAGGTTGCCAACGAACAGGTTGCCAGCTGGATCGGTCGAATAGGTCGCTAGCCGAATAGGTCGCCAATTTGGTTCGGTTAATATCTGTCACGTGCCAGCTATCACGTGATGTAAACAAACGCGTTGTATATTATACCTTCAAAACACCGTAAGTTCTTGTTCTTAATATCCTAATAAAGATTACCTTTCATCAGATTTTCTGCCAAACGGCGAAACGATCACAAAATACAGCGCTAAACTTGCTCCAAATTTGTATGTTTACTATAGCGATCAGTGAGCGTGTCGAACCAACTACGTCACTTCCGGTATTAATAAAAATTAATTTCTCGCTTGCAAATTATTTTTTGCATATGTTATAGGAGGGATTATTTCTAAATATATATTTATTATTTATGGAAACCTTATTGAAAATCGTTGGTCTTCCCCTTTAATACAAACCCAGCACAGTTAGAACGTACAGTAAGATTTATAATGCACCTTAAATTACAGCTTATGTGGAAAGT